AAAAAAAAAAAAAAAAAAAAAAAAAAAAAAAAAAAAAAAAAAATGTTCCTTCGCTCGTCATTTTTCAGCTGTTTCCAAGGGAACGCGGTCACGCACACACAACACGGGCCCGCAGAGCTATGAAGATCGGCACAGCGATAGATTGGTTATCGCGAGTCGGATCATTCTGAAGGAGCGAAAAAGCAAAAAAAGTACCATTTTCGACGGATCCCGAGGGAAAAAAAAAAAAGTAAGCACGACGCAAAGGAAAGCCCAGAGGAGAAGAAAAAAAACGGCCCGATAAGGAGGAGGAGCAGCAGCCATGAGGGAGATCGTGCACCTGCAGGCCGGCCAATGCGGCAACCAGATCGGCGCTAAGGTTAGCATTTCGGAGGGAAAAGAAGAAGAAAAAAAAAAAAAAAAAAATGGCCCCGCAGCAGTTTTAATTCTCTACCCCTCGCCCCTCTAGTTTTGGGAGGTGATCTCGGACGAGCACGGGATCGACCCGACGGGATCGTACCACGGGGACTCGGACCTACAGCTCGAGCGCATAAACGTGTACTACAACGAGGCGACCGGGGGCAAGTACGTGCCCCGAGCCATCCTCGTCGACCTCGAGCCTGGTACGATGGACGCCGTGCGCTCCGGGCCATTCGGGCAGATCTTCCGGCCCGACAACTTTGTGTTCGGGCAGAGCGGGGCCGGCAACAATTGGGCCAAGGGCCACTACACCGAGGGCGCCGAGCTCGTCGACTCGGTCCTCGACGTCGTCCGCAAGGAGGCCGAGAGCTGCGACTGCCTCCAGGGCTTCCAGCTGACCCACTCCCTGGGTGGGGGCACCGGGGCAGGCATGGGCACCCTCCTCATATCGAAGATCCGCGAGGAGTACCCCGACCGGATAATGATGACCTTCAGCGTGGTGCCGTCGCCAAAGGTGTCCGACACCGTGGTCGAGCCGTACAATTGCACCCTCTCGGTCCACCAGCTCGTCGAGAACACCGACGAGTCGTACTGCATCGACAACGAGGCCCTCTACGACATATGCTTCCGCACCCTCAAACTGACGACCCCCACCTACGGCGACCTGAACCACCTGGTGTGCGCCACCCTCAGTGGGGTCACGACCTGCTTGAGGTTCCCCGGCCAACTGAACGCCGATCTGCGCAAGCTCGCCGTCAACATGGTCCCCTTTCCCCGGCTGCACTTTTTCATCCCCGGCTTTGCCCCGCTCACCTCGAGGTACGTGTTTTATCATTAAATTTGTTGTCGTATATATGGGCATCGAGAGGATGATACAAACTATGGGAATCAAAGGGGTTCGCAGCAGTACCGGTCGCTGACGGTGCCCGAGCTTACCCAGCAAATGTTCGACGCCAAGAACATGATGGCGGCGTGCGACCCACGCAACGGCCGTTACCTCACTGTCGCTGCGGTCTTCCGGGGCCGCATGTCCATGAAGGAGGTGGACGAGCAGATGCTCAACATCCAGAACAAAAACAGCTCGTACTTTGTCGAGTGGATACCGAGCAACGTCAAGACGGCCGTGTGCGACATACCGCCCCGGGGCCTCAAAATGTCGGCCACCTTCATCGGCAACTCCACCGCCATACAGGAGCTCTTCAAGCGCGTCTCCGAGCAGTTCACCGCCATGTTCCGCAGGAAGGCCTTCCTCCACTGGTACACCGGGGAAGGTACTCTCTCTCTCTGTTTTTTTTTGCCGGATGCGCCTGAATAGTGTATATTATAATATGTGTCACCTTATCAACACGTGTATAGGCATGGACGAGATGGAGTTCACGGAGGCCGAGGGCAACATGAACGACCTGGTGTCGGAGTACGAGCAGTACCAGGAGGCCACGGCGGACGAGGACGGCGACTTTGACGAGGACGAGGGCGAGAACGAGGAAGCTTAGCGAAGGGGGGACTTTTTCAGTTTTTCGACCCTCCCTCCCCCTCTTTGCAACCTCAATGATTTTTATTGGCTCGTCTATTGGGGGGGAAAAATCCGCGTGTTTGTGCAAATGATGGTAAAACAAAAAAAAAACAAAAAAAAACAAATGATACAATAAATATATATATATATATATACACGACAAGAACAATGGTGGTGTCGTTACGCTATAGTTTTATAAATATATTTATCTTTGTACTTCCTGTTTTTTGCTGCTCTCACGCGCACACGTGCTCCGGTCGTACTGTAAATCCCAATAAAAATTTTATCGCTAGTAAATAAAAAAACACACATTCAATATACATCCCGTGTTGTGATCATTTTTTCTTCTTCTTCCATTATACTGGTTACGCGCAATTATAATCATCGTCAATGAGCGTAGCGATGGAAACAGGTCGTTGGATCGGTAGTAAAAATAAAAAATTACGACTCCGCAACAGTCATCGTTGGCAATCGTTGGCTCTTAATCGCAAGTGGAGCGCAGTGTAATTGATTGACTTGACGCACAAAGCAGATTGTTATTACACTTGGGAGGTTTTTTTTCTTCACGCGTGAGTTTGCGATCGGTAAGAAATCGATCAACCCTTCGATCGATCGTACGGGGGCGGGAGGAGGCCCTTGCCACGTCTACTTTTAACGAAAGTCAGCCCCACATGACGCTTACGTATATAGTTGCACAACTGTGCACCGTAGGTTCACGGATCTGTGGGCATTGCGTAAACATTGCACAAACGAAACATCCCTGATGTCCTCCCATGAGCTGTAAACACACGCGCACTGTACCAATCAAGAGCGGATTTTAGCAGATGGCATCTCGCCCGTGGTTACGCAACTTGCCCAAGGGTCGTATCCAATAAATAATCGAAAATCGAAGGCGTGGATTATTGTGGAAACGACATGAGGTTTTGCATACAACATAAACATATGTGGCAAAAAAGAGGGAAAAAAAATCATTAAAGTATAATTTGAATCTCGCTTATACATTGTCTGGCTATAATCATGGGGTGTACACATGCAAGGGAAGAGCGAGTGCATACTCTACACGTTAACTCTATGCGGTATACAGATTTACCTATACCTGTCCCTCGTCATCCGTCAACAGCGTACAAAATAGCTTATACACGCGATTGAATATAATGTAGTAGTAGGCGTGCTCTCGCTGAGTGCCAAGTCGATCAAGTTATAAACCTTGCAACGCCAAAGACGACGGGCAAATCCATCGGCCCGTATACCTACAAGTATAGGTACCCCATCAACAGCATACCTCTACACTTTGTTTGTCCTGTATATGTTTTTTTTTTTTTTTTTTTCCTCGTTTCTCTGGGGCTTCGATAATATGTACCTACAATCATTTTTGTTACTTATACCGAGACCTACTGAACTTTGCGCTAAAACCATCATTGGACATATATTATCGTGTTGCCACATGATCCGCTCATTTTCTTAGATTACCTACATATGTATGTATGTATGTATGTATGCACCAGCGCTTATATATATATTATGTATATACGTTGGAGCACGGCGAGCGTGAACCCTATACGCCTTGGGGTCAACGATGGCTACTTGACTATATCATTTCGCGACTCGATCCGATCGGCCGATCTCGGCCTCGGGCCTGTAACATGCCATATAGTCTTGCACACCCAACGAGTATAGGCGCCGATCGCGAGCACACCGCGATAGTTACGTTAACACGCGCGCCAACCTACAAATTGCCCTGCCTCGCCTGCTCATTATACATTAGAGCCTGCCTGTATATATTAAACTTCCATCTGGTTGCTATTTGCCATTGTCGGCTTTTTTTCTTTTTTTTTTTTTTTTTTTTTTTTTTTTTTTTTTTNAACATGCCATATAGTCTTGCACACCCAACGAGTATAGGCGCCGATCGCGAGCACACCGCGATAGTTACGTTAACACGCGCGCCAACCTACAAATTGCCCTGCCTCGCCTGCTCATTATACATTAGAGCCTGCCTGTATATATTAAACTTTCATCTGGTTGCTATTTGGGATTGTCGGCTTTTTTTCTTTTTTTTTTTTTTTTTTTTTTTTTTTTTTTCTCACGCCATTACGCGAGCTCTCTTGCTCCCAAAGGCGACGACAGGAGAGCCTCGGGCCTTGACGCTCGCTGGAGAAATTCCGCGAGGCACCCGCCCTCGCCGACGGCCGTCCTTGCCTGCCGGGCGTTGGATTGTTTCGTTTTTTGCCCGCATTTTTTTTACCGTTTAGGGAAATTTACGAGACGAACCGTGAAAAATCGTGAGGTTTTGCGCCATTGACGTATAGGGTTCACGGCCAAAGTGGGGAAAAGGACACCTGTGGTTTGACCTCACGGATACAATTTTATCGCCCGTTCGATCGAAATACTTATCTCACGTGTGTGTTTATGAAAAACGTGAACCTTAAGCGATTTTCCGAATGTGCGCCCACGGGATGCGCAAAGTATGAACACAAATCGTCCACATGGGTTGGGCCATACGTCGAATCGTCGGTAACGTGTTGCGCATACATCACATGTAGGTTTGATGGACGCGAAATGAAACTGATTTTCCAATAGCCGCGCTCTTATTTTCCCGGCGTTTTCACAACGCGTCGGCTCATTTTTTCCATGGGACGAAGGCTATCGCGGCCGTTTCTCGTAGATCGGCACGCTCAGCCTTCGCGGTCAGCTGCCGTTTATTTTTTTCTTCTTTCCTTTTTATTAATAAGGCAATTATTGAGCGAATAAAAAAAAAAATATGCGCGTGTGATTACTTTGAAGCAACTTGCAATTACTTAATCGCATATTTATAAGAATTATTTTCTTTTCGTTGCTAGCGATTACGCTATCTTTTATTGGCATGCTGGGCTGTGTGTGTATTTCTTCTCGTTTTTTTTCTTCCACAATTATATACTTAGGAATGGAAAAAAAAAAATTCAATACAATACAACCTCTAGTTTCGACTCGACGTGTCATTATATACGTACGATTGCTAGACCAAAAAAAAAGGTCCGGATAAAGTAAGGTTTCAATTATAAAGAAATTAATCGTTGAGCAATCCTATACGTGCAAACACATATGCGCCGATGATGCGCGCAATGGTCCATCCGTCGAATAATGATCGATGCTCGGCGTTTTAATGTCGATCGTTGCGTGAGTCGATTACGAAAATACCGCCGCGCGGGAGAGCGAAAAAAAATTATTTTATTTGTTTACGAGATGGCAATTAATGGGCACATTACGCGCTTGCTCAACCCACTCGATAAAAAGGATCATTTTTTGCCGTTCAACGAATTCCTCCTTTTTTCCTTCATCTTCACTCTCCGAACAATCAAATCTTTGCTCCCCAAGCTTTTAGTTCCAACACAACTACGGGCCTTGGAAAAAAAAAAAAAAAAACTGAAAAGACTCGCAAATAACGGATCGCTTGATTTTTTATTTTTATTTTTTTTATTGCTAAATAATAATAAATGTTATCATCGTAAACTATGGGTAGTTCGAACAATAAACACGCGCCGCGATGTGCCTTTGTTGGTCGCAATATATAACGTATTGTATACCTACTTGGACCGACGCGATGTGGCCTCAGCTGGAGTCTCTTTACGATGGCTCGTAAAACTTGGCTTGTTCCGCGGTCATTGGAATATAGGTGTCTATCGATGGTTAGACAGAGAAAAGACATCGGGCGTGAAAAAAAAAGGAAAAAAAAGTCACAGAAGAGTGCCCGCGTAAGTAGGGGAGCGAATTTTCCCGCGTGCACTCGCGTTTGATTTCCAAGCAAATCATAATGGGTCCGACCTCGCCGGAGCGCCGCCTTTATTTTTTTTTTCCCTTCCACGCATCGGTGTGTCCCATGGCGTTCCTTGCTCTCGTCATGCATCATCCTTGAGAGGCTCGTCCAGTGGCAAGCACCCGCGGAGATACCGCGCGGAGCCTTCGATGCGTCTATTGACACCTCGTGCTGGAGGGGACTTTTTTTTTTTTTTTTTCCCCCCCATTGTCAACAACCCGCGCTGTTAGAGCTAGAACTCCTCCTTCCTCTGCTTTTTACCTCGTCCTTCTCGATTCGCATATTTTCTCTCCCGCTCGATCTAATGGCACCGCGGATGCATCGCCCGATCCTCGGGTGGGTATATAAGTGTCTCGGGTGCTCTTTGCTAAATCAGTCAGTCCGCAGTACTGTTCCACGAGAGCTATACAGGCCTCCTACTTTTTACACTTTTGTACCCACTCCAGTCGTCATGTTCAAGCTGGTAAGTATTCACCGTCGCCCTTTGCTCGCGCATCTTGTGTTACTTTGAAAATAGAACAAAAAAAATTATAAAAAATAGAGCTCGCACCTCGTGGTCATGTTACGCCACTACAGGTACGAAGCTTATTTTTCGTTCTCAAAGACTTTACCGGTTTTATTTATGCACAATCGAATACACCCTTACGATCGAAGATTCCAACATTCCCCCGGTATAGGTATAATACTTACCGCCGCTTGTTGAAATCAGCGCGAATCATACCTTTTACTATACATAATTAAAATTAAGTTACACGCATTGATACCGATAAAAAATATTGTCGGTCCGAATGAACGTTTATTTGAAATAACGTATTAATTTAAATCCGATAAACAATTTCTTTGGGACGTGATGAATATTTTGTTGTTGTTGTTGATTAGCGATTGAACGTTCGTTTGGATATATGTGAAATGTAAAATGAAAAATGATGAATAATAAAAAAAAAATGCATAAATTTGTTTTCCCGCGCAGCTCGTACTTTTGTCCCTGGCGGTGTACGCCTCGGCCGGTGGCCTGTACTCCGGCTTGGGAAGCTACGGGTACTACGGCAGCCCGTACAGCAGCGCGTACAGCTACGGAGGCTACGCCGGCGGCTACGGTGGCTACGGACACGGCGGCAGCGTCGTCAGTCTCGCGCCCTCGGTCGGCTACTCGCCCTACGCCAGCAGCTACGCCAGCGTCATCAAGGTCCGAGTAATGAAAAAAAAAAAAAACAATTACATACAACCAACGTATACATATATGTATTAACTTTAGTACCCGTCGTACTACACGAGCGGACTCTACCCCGGGGCCAAGAAGATCATCTACGCCAATCCGCTGAACAAGCTCGGCTACTACTCGCCCACCTACCTCGGGGGCTACCCGGCGTCGTACTCGCCCTACTACGGCTACGGCCACGGCTACGGCGGCTACTACGACAACGGGCTAGGACTCGGCGGCTACAACGGCTACCTCGGCGGCCTCTCCGCTTACGGCCACAACGTTTACAACCACTACTAGGAGCCCGTGCGCACAGCCGGAGGTGCAGCGACCCGAGCCAAAAATCCGACACGCGACGACGCTTGCGGACCGAAGGGAATTTATCAGTATTTCACGAAAGATTGACCCCCATGTGTATTTTGTATTTACCGATGTGTTCTCGATCTCGTTGGAGCGAGTTTCGCCGAAATTCCTCCCAACGAGACCTAATCACGCGTGTACACCCAGGGAGAACGAAAACCTCAATAAAATTGTATTTTTACTACCGATTGTATTTTACGCCGCTCTTCTTTTTCTTTGTTCGCCTCCAAAAATCCCAATCCCTACGATACAAAACTGCATTTATATAGAGTCTCATTGTCGCGCACGTGGAAACACTCTACTTATACTCCTATCGCGGAGGCACGTGCGCACCGGTCGAGATATTGTTATCCTACGATGACAATTGGCTTTATGTAAATACACGTCCCGAGGATGCATATTTGTAGCTCGTCTCTTTCTCTTTTTTTTTTTTTCATACTATCTATGATACACGTGCATTGTCATTCATATAATAGCCACACGAGGCTATACGTATATTTGTGTATTTTTGCGTGCAAGCTCGCGGAGTAGAACGTGGGAAACCCTTGTATAACGCCTCATTGTATAATCTAGTGGAACGAGAATCGTACATATGTGTGTACTTATATGTATATTAAATACCCCTTGTGCTATTGATTGACTGTGCGTGTCATCACCTGAGTATATTATGCGTATATATACCCTTGGTGGGGTGTAATATCCTCATATGAGGGCTTACAATCCCTCCCCCCCCCCACAAGACCAAGTTCATATAGGTATATATATCCTTTACAGGTATATTTATAAGGCGTCGCATTCACGCAACACGAAAGGTACATCCATGTGTTATAACAGGAGATGAATTTCGATATTTCGGTACACAACCAGTTGGATTTATTTCTCCGTGCGGTTATTCCTTCACTTGGTCGGCGTTTGATGATTGCGCGCATATGGTGCGCGTATATATAGGTAAGCTATTCTTTATCTGGTCGTTTGGTCTATCTGCAGGTATATACATATGTATATGTACATCTCAAGATGTTTCGTCATTAGTTACTGTTTTCATATTTTGAAACAGTGGTTTTTGACGTTACTTTGACCACAAATGGCAAATTATTTGTTGAACATTTTTACTCGGATGAAAATATTGAATTTTGAAATCATTTGCCAAGTTAGCCGAGTATCATAGTAGATCAATCCGTATCTATATATTACAAATAGTAAAACATTATGCCAAAATGTTTTATAAGAACAATATATATTTATACATTGGTCAAAAATAAATCAAAAACTTTAAAGGGCTGTATCTACGTGAATATTGCGAATATCGTAAAAAGGACGATATATTGAGATCACCAAAGTTTGAAAATTCGTATTTGCTAATTGTCAACCTCTGACCTCTTATTACTTATAAATTAATAAGTATACCTGATATTTTAACACTTTTCTTCTTATTGAATTGTGGTCATTAAAATATGTAGAATCACTCTTTGGTATAGGAGTATCAACAATTGAATTAATGAAAATCATTCAAATTCCATGAAAAATAAAACAACAATGGGACTATATAGTTAAAGTTAAAAAACAAGAAAATTCACATGATTAGCAAATAGCGTTTATTACAATGAGATCCATTTGATACAAAAATTATACTGCGTGCTGCGACAGCAAAGGAAAAAAAAATACACAAATTGGTTATCCAAATTACATACAATTCATAACAAGTGCGAAATCCATAGTACCTATGGAAGATCAATGATCATCAACGTGTATTTCGGATGGAAAAAACACTGAATTAGTGGTAGTAAGAGTAGGCGTAGGGTGAAGCATAGGCGATGGGGGCAGCCGCGGGGTGAGCGGCGTAAGCCAATGGTGCGTATGCACTGCCTGCATACGCGCTGTAGTACGGGTGAGCGGAGTAAGCTGTAACGATACAAGAAAGACAATTGATCAACCTCTTGTTAAACATCACTCTCATTACCTTCAATTAAAGTTTTTATTTTTTATTATTATTTTTTTTTTTTCAATAGTCAAATAATTAAATTTCTCCCCAGATTGGGGACACAATACGAGTGCCAATGCGTATAGTTTTCGACACACAGTCCGAGGACATCTTGCAAATGCTCGCGTCGAAAACTATTTTTCTAACATTAGGTGTTTTTTTCTTTCACCTTTGGACGTTTACTGCACCCTCGGTAGAAAAAATATAGAGTTCGCACCTGGTGCGCATCCAAGCAAGATAAGCACAAGTAGTCTCTTGCTTGCCCTGGAGACGTTAGCCACCAGGGTAAGAAAACTACTATTTCGTACCAACGATGGGAGAATTAAAAAATTTAATTTATGCGCAAATTGTCAACTAATGACGCGACATTATCTTTAGAATTTATTGTACGCAGTAAACGTGAAAATAAAATCGAATATCTCACGAACAGTGTGTATAATTGCGTGTACGTACCGTTGATTGCCGGTGCGGTAGCTACCAACGGAGCAGCGGCCAAGTAACCGGGTTTTGGTGCCGCGAAGACGCAGGCGACGGCCACAGCCAGGAATACGACGAACTTGAACATCTTGGGTGAGTTGGGTTGGTTGCTCTGGTCTTCGTACTATTTGACACGAGGAACGATTGATGCCCAGCTTTGGAGCACCCGGGCCTTTTATACACCCGAAACACAAGCCGAAACGAGCGGCCTTCTAGCTTTCGCGTGTGGCAGACTCTGACGTGGGAGAAGCGGGGGTATGAAAAAAAAAAAAAAAAAGACGGCCAAAAACTACTACTACTACTACCGGTGGAGGGACAATGGTGGTGCGTGCGAGTGGCCTTACGCGAGCCGTGCTTTCAAAATCGGTAATTCGCTCGGCGAGAAATTGAACGGGCAGACGAATAGAGCAACCTCATCCACGCCCTCGTCGTGTTTTTTTTTTTTTTTTTTTTTTCCAACGTTACGCGCGTACATTATTTTATTGTTGTACACGTTGCCGAACGTGTTCGCGGGACGTCTAGTTTGGCAAGATAGGCATCGCCGCCAAAATGCTGTTTTTTTCTTTTTTTTTTTTCTTTGACACCACTCCGAACGTTGATCGGTGTTACGTCCAAACGGTATACTTAATCCCAAAGTCCGATTGGCCATATTCATTCCAGGCGCTACATTTGTATCTACATGTATTTTGTTTTCCCATCCTGGATCGGTATGAATAAAAAAAAAGGAGGAATTTTTCGTGCGCAGTAAATCTTAATTTTGAACTTGTCGAGTCAAGTTGTCACGCTTCCGCATTCATAACTCGTGGATTTTTATGTATTTCCCGAGACGTCACTTTTTAATACGTCAAACGCACACTAATGTTCTTCAAATTGATATTATATTATTCCAGTTTAGTTGGCCAATCGCGTAAATTGTTAGCGGCCGTATGCCAACGCATTACGTAAGACGCGTTGGCCCACACGATAAGCTTAACGAGAGAGGTATGGGCAGTTGTCAATTATCGTTGCATCCGAACGAATGCAATTTACCTTTACCTGCAGGTGGCGTACTTTAATGAGGATTTTTATGAGAAAAAAAAAAAAAAAAAATTAATTAAACGAATCGTTTGTCCTGATCCGAGCGACATTGAAACAACAAAAACCTGTATTTCTAAGAAAAAAGCCCGTAAAGTACTTACTGCCCTGTTCCGCGTAACATAATATGTTATCACGCTCTCATCATAACGATTTTTAAGAATTAAATTTTGCGCCAGTACGAATATCATCGTCATTTATGCATAATATAACAAACGCACTTTGGTCTAAGCTCGTGGACGTTGGCGTGTACAATTAAGAGCGAGTAACAATGATCGCCGATCGATCGGATATCGGAGCCATCGTCGTCGAGATGGAGCGATTACCATCCGAACATATAAGTACATCTCGCTCAGCGGCCACTTATAGCTGGTATACACGTACGTTGTGCCACTCTCGCTCGACTATTTTAACTAATCGATTAGGCACGCAAGGGCAATCATTCATTATTAGTCCAGAGAGAAAAAAGGCGTGAGGGATGGAGGGGGGGGGGGATGTGAGTATTTTTTTCTTCTCACACTATAAGTATTATGATTGTCTTTGTAGCGCAATATCTTGCATCTTTTCGGGTATGGTTAATCTCGAATGGTCGTATACGGCCACCTTGAGAGCCACGGGTAAAAACAGCAGGGACCTTGGCCATAGGTCCGCCTCAACGGGATATCCACGCGAGAGGGAGACAACAACAACAACGGCAATAGCTATACAGAGAGAGAGAGCGGCACATCCACGCAACACCGATTGCGCGTGACAGGAGCAAGTACACCTACTTGCCGAAACGCGTTGATTGCGCGCTTTCGCGACTAGTGCCCCACTCCATCCTGGAAAGCGATTTCGGGTGTATAAAAGGCCCGGATGCTCCAAAGCTGGGCATCAATCGTTCCTCGTGTCAAATAGTACGAAGACCAGAGCAACCAACCCAACTCACCCAAGATGTTCAAGTTCGTCGTATTCCTGGCTGTGGCCGTCGCCTGCGTCTTCGCGGCACCAAAACCCGGTTACTTGGCCGCTGCCCCGTTGGTAGCTGCCGCACCGGCCGTCGCCGTGGCCCACAACGTGCCCCTGGCTACCAGCTACTCCAACACCGTCCAGATCTCGCACAAGAGCCCCATCGTCTACGCCGCCCATCATACCCCCCTGGCTTACGCTGCCCATCCTGCCCCCCTGGCTTACGCCGCCCACCCTGCCCCCTTGGCCTACGCGGCAGCTCCAGTTTGGTAAACGACGAGTGTACACGTCGAGCTCAACATTGTATAATATTGTATAAAAATGTTTTTCAACGAGACATCCGCTGTTTGTACACGCATTGTCATTCATCATGATTTGAACACCAGACAATAAACTTATTTTTATAACTTGCAATCAAACAAAAAATCTTTTGGTTTTCTTCGTATTTTCCTACCTCCTCCTCCTAAAAAGATTTTTAAATAATTCTATGGCCTTTTTCGGCTATATTGTGTTTTTTTGCTTTGGTAAAATTTGTCTCCTCGCCAATTGTACTGATTGATCGTATTTTTTTTTTTTTCAAACCACCGATCATTTTGAAACGAAAGCGTGGATATAATTATTGCTCTATCGAAGTTTCGTGTGAAACCATGTATAATATGCAGAGAAAAAAAATAAAATAAATGAGTGTCCTTTCGCTTTCCAAAAAAAAAAAAAAAAAAAAAAAAAGTTATTTTGCATCAATTATACTAATTGGAGTCAAGCAAAAATGCAGGACCAAGTTTTTGGAACGTACAACAGGTGGGCCTTAGCTCACGTAGCGCTGGAATAAAAATTGTTTTTTCCCCGCTCGAGAGCAAACGAGGGAGAGTAAAATTCCGACCAATTATGGATTCCCTAGTCCGACTCGATCAAAATAGTTATGTAAATACCGTGGGAGAAAACTCATACATTTGTCGGAATATATATATATAATTATCTAATTATCGTCCCGTGCTGAGATGTATATATATGCGTACAGTCGAATGTCACCGCGAGAAAGAGGAGACGCGTTGTTGTCGAAATTCCGAGTTTGTACTGCAAGTATAAAAATATACGTCGCACGGCAGTGCTAACCAAACTCGCCCATCATTATGCATTATTAGCACATGCATGGATGAATGCAATATGTGTCGCGAGCACACGGCAACGCAACACTGAACGGATTGTTACGACAGTAGCACTGCAGAGTGATATGGAGCGCGTGCATGCACGAGTGTATATGTAAGTATAGGTACGAAAGCGAACGCGTTTGCATGGTTCCAAATGGCATCGCTATAGGTATGATAATACATAGTGGCATCAATCGCAGCATTTTCTGCAAAGGCAAGGATATACCTATATAAATTAATATACATGTAGGCTGGCTAGAGCACTCGTATTATTACATGCAGCTCACGCCTACTCTTCTTCTTCTCTTCACAGTCGTTGTCCGACTTTTCCTTTTTTTCCCAACAGCTTGACAGTCACAGGTAGGTACGTAACCATCTTCCACTTTCGACCGTATATACCTTCTATTTTCAATTTCAATGGGCCTCGGTAGGGTAGAGTGCACTCGGCCCATTTTCAAGTCTCAATCAATACTTGCAAGCACGTATAGGTATAGGTATACACATCACCTTCCTACGCTCTCTCTCCCCAGTCCTCCCTATCATATAGGTACATTTGTATACCTATATAATTATATACTCTTTTGCTGCTGACACACTTTGTGCTGTTATTGTCTCGAGAACAACGAGTTCAACGGGTTTGTTTTAGGGTCAAACTGATATCTTCTATTTTTCTATCATTAATTTTCCACGTCACCAAGTATATACCTATTTGCCACTTGCTCTCCTTTTCATATACATGCATATAATATGTATGCACAATGAGGTGTACACTTGAAAAAAAGGTGTTATCCAAGTTCAATCTACAATATCACGACTACCTAGCTCATAAGCATACTTATGTTATACTGCATAAAATGTAACATTCGTGGCGACGTAACACCATGTTGCACATGCTATAAATATTACGTACAAGTGTGTCATGTGTATATTATATGACATACGTAGGTACGTACGACGCGCGAAGTAGAGATAGGTGGCGACGACGAGCTGATTAATGCAATCGACGCGAACAAAAACAGAGCTGACCTGACGAAACGAGACGTCCCATTGGGGCGTATTACCCGCGTGGTCGTATCTCCCGCTTACATATTGTATACCCGCGCTACCGTATATATATATATATACCCACTCATCAAAGATAATGAGGAGGACAAGTGTGTATATATATATATACACATAAATCCACGGATTTCGCAACGGGCGGGGGCCTAAAAGCTGTACGGCTTGACCCTCGATTGCGAAACGAGCGGATTTTCCCCTTTGTCCAATGATCGTAAGAGACCAAACTACACCTTTTTTATTATTAACGAGCACTATGTGTACGATAAATTGCGCCTCTGGGAGGGAAAAAAGGGTACTTCAGACGGGGATTGACGAAATAATAATACGCGGATCTGACGAAAAAGTAACAACGGCGATGGTGATACCTATAAGGTGTGTTCACGCGCCGTCGTCGCGGATATGTTATATTGGTATGTATAAGTACACGTACTTATGTGGTTCGCGAGAGAGAGAGATCCGTGATCGTCCTGCCGCGATAAACACGCATACACATCACAGGTGCTCCTCAAGTGCATGTTGCTCTCTCGCTGTAAGTATACCCATGTACGCGCGTGTCGACGCACCGTCCCAAGGTGGTCCAGTTCTGCGCTCCTCCCGGTTCTTCGCCGAGAGAAGAGCATATACGCGCAGAAGGGGCAGCTAGACGCGGATGTGCCCATGTTTTTCTATTTTTCTCCCACCGTTTTTATCTCGACCACTTTCCGTATGCGGTGAGGGGGAGATCGACTCGACGGAAAAAAAAGGAGGACAAAAACAATATTTTTTTATGCGTAAAAATAAAAACAAGATATATAATATGTACACACTTACGGTGAGTTATTGTTGAATACATTGAGAACTCGAGATGTATTGATTTGATTTTTATGATAATTTGTTGTTTTTATTTTTTTTGTTTGCGTCCGGAGTGTGCTTTCGAGCATAATGCGAGGTATTCAAGCCTGGAGCTTGAACTGTGACGTTGCGTATGCCAAATTTGCGATTCCGTACGTAACACTTACCTACTTTGGAAAAAAAAAGAAGATTTTTGTTTGATTTGATTATGCACGAGATTGGATTGGATTTACCTATACTACATATTATAATTTAAGCCAACAATTGTTGTTTTTCCTTTTACACAAAATTGTTTTACAGTAAAGCCTTATATTACTGATATCATTATTTTTGTTGTTAATCAAAAATTTTTACCACTAAAAGACTTGGACACGGGTACTTTTTTAATCTATTGCTAAAAATGTCATACGTAATCAGAGCTAAAAATTTTTTTCAATTACTATTTACATTACATTACTTAAAATTTTTCCAAGCAAAAACAATTTAGAAAAAAAGTTAGTCAAAGTATTTGAAAAAGAATACATTTTATTTCAAATATTTTACGATTAAAAAAAAGATCGTGCCCAAGTCTAATGACTGACGACAAATTTATTTAGGATGTTGTCCACGTACTTCAAACTACATACGAAAAGCATAACTCCATGTGTGCGCGTCGACAGTTAATTTGTTTGATACGCATACTGAACGTATTAGGTTTCATTGAATTAAGGGAAAAACATTGATTTAAAAATCGTCAAGTATACTTGAAAAAAAAAAAAAAAAAAAAAAAAAAATGATTACGCACCAAACTCGCGTTGCTATGAAAAAGTAAAAACAAAAAAAAAAAAAAAAAAAACACAAAAGAGTCCAAGACAAGCGCGAAAGGGAGCCTTCGATCGGCGCGTCAAAACCAGATGAGATAATATCTTCTGGCGCCTTTCTCTGCAAAGCGGGGGGGCCACCACTCCAAAGCGCCCGAGCTGTTGGCGTATATACATACGCATAACACATAGCCACAGGCTACACCAGCATCTAACGAGCCTAGAACCGTAAACCGAAAGGAGAGCGCCCGGGCGTTTTTCAGGGGAACCATTGTACATATATACATATATATATATAGCCTACGTCACGCATCAAGGAAGTCGCCTCGCGACGAAGGTCTTCTTTGTGCAATGCGCGCGAGGTATGGACAAACGGGGAGTATATATAAAGCTCCCGAGTGTCCTTTTGCAGCCAAACACTTTTTGATCCTCAGCTCCGATAGATCGTCAAACGGCACGCCAATCGTCATGTTCGTCAAATTCGTAAGTGAAAAGATTTTCTTTCTTTTTTTCGTGATGCAAAGTAACCATTGGGATGAAAATAAAAAAATAACAATCGTTCCACAGGTGGTCCTCCTCGGGGCGTTGGCCTTCGCCGCGGCTAAGCCAGGCTTCCTAGCACCGGCGCTCCTAGGGAGCCACGCGGCCGTCGTCAACGAGGCGACCATCTCCTCGCACGGCAACTCGGTGGTCCACGCGAGTGCCCCGGTCGTCACCGGCTACGCCAGCCCCGTCGTGGCCGCGGTGGCCCCGGCCGTCCTCGCCGAGAAGACCATCTCCTCCCACGGCCACTCCATCGTCCACGCGAGCGCACCAGCCATCACAAGCTACGCCGCGCCGGCACCTGCCCTCCTCAGCTACGCACCCGTTGCTCCCGTCTACTACCATTTGCGATGATGGGAACAACAATGGATAATTATTCGTCCCGATCGATGAGACTACTCATTGTGCCATTTGTTAGTCCGGGATTTCCCACAGGACTTATTCTCTCCCTTGGTTAGAGCAGTGTGAAAAATCCCAGACGAACAAATGCCACAATTTTTTGTTTCTCTCGCTCGCGATGAGTACCTACTGTGCATATTATGTCTTTCTCACTGTTTAACACTCTGGCACGCTCATTCGACACTCGAATGACGTATTTGTTTTATACCTCTCTCAATAAAAAAAACTTTTTTTTCTCTCAACTCGATCTCTCGTCATTACCAGCCCTCTCCCCCCCCCCCCCACCCTACACACACACAAATTCACGTTTTCCGAATCAGATCCTCTTTGTTCATTTGTTGGTGTCTGCGGTACAGTTCAACATTTGTGGGCAAAGGTTTCATGAACACCTGTAACAATCAACCTCGATCGATATGCAAAAAGAAAAGAGAGTATCGAAAAACTCATGATGGGCCAAGGCGTGACGAGTACACACGCGTACTTGAGGTGACGCAGCTAAAAGCACAACCCGTGTATATAAAAGGGCCGATGGGCGGATAGGGGCACTCACTCGCGAGGGAGCAACGATAATAATGTTACTGGTAAGTGCGAAGTGAGGGTTATATAGCAGGTGAGGTAAAACAGTCGCAAATCCTAAGGGTCCGCATTGTCGTTGGAATTTCAGACGCACGCGATGGCACTACTGGCAGTAGTGGCTGTCGTGGTCGGTAAGCCCAGTAGCGCTGGCGAGTCCTTCGTTGTCATCGTTGCTCCCGAAAGTCCCGATCCGACGACCAACTTGCTCAGCGCTACGGCGACACCCCTGCCCGACAGCCCACCGCCCTCGTCGTACGGACACCACGGGTTACCCGGAGGACTCTTCGGCCAAGCCATACATCCGTCTCACCTTCCCAACCCATTTCTGTAATATATGTATACTCATCTTACTTTGGCTTTATTCGATCTGTGACCGTAAACTATATAATATATATCGCTTAATCAAATTGGATTTTTTCCTTTTTTCGTCAACTAAATCCACTCCAAAAGTGGACGCACATTTTTCTATACAATGTGCCCCCTAAGGATGTATACCTTGGTTCTGACAGTTTGGCGTTTCAGGTGGTACCCGGCGCTGCCGTCCCTGGGGCCCGTTCCACCAGCTCCTTACCCGGCGTTCATGCCCAGCGTGCCCCCTGCGCCCCAGCCAACCGCACCAGTCGCCGTGGTACCCTTCCTGCCCGCGGCCGCGCAAATACTCGGCCAGCTGTTCTGGATGCCCCTCGAGCACCTCATCATCAGCGTCCAGCAGTCCTTGTTTCAATCTCTGAATCCCGACAAACCCCCGCCGTAAGTCGACGCGCAAGATAATCGTTGCGCTCTTTTACAAAAATCTTTCAATACATGGTACATACCCACGAGTACTTACTTATATATGTAACGCTAAGTACATCGAGAAATATGACTCTTTGCCCAGGATTGTAATCCTGCAAGTCATTATTTCTTTAAATAACACTGATTTCCGTGAATTATTGTTTATCAATAAACTTGAACCACTGATTGTTTTTTCACTGCATGTTTTATACCTTTTTTTTTCTATCCTTTGTCCGTTTTTTAAAAGGATACTCTTATGCACGCGTAAAATTATATTAAACAGATTCAAACACAACATTTTTGTTATTTCAAAGCATATTGTAAAGCGTTACACCACACGGGATCTCATAGATCCGTAAAAGCCTCCCATGAGTATGGGTAGCCATTGACCTTGTGCCGGGTGGTACGCATTATTGATAATACGCAAGTAATGTTCAAAAGAATGGAGAGGAAGAAAAAAAAAAAAACCAGAGTAATATACAACCGGGAGGATTAATCCAACTCTCTAAATTTAAACCAGTGAAATTTCACTGGTTAATAGTGTAATTTTCAGTACCCTCGTCAGTTAGGATCAGGTCACATGCAAATAGTGAACATTTTCACTGGTTTAAATTCAGAGAGAAGGCTCGGGTCAACGGACGCGGAATAATGGAAGGATTGTACGGTACGGCGCGTGACTCGTCAATCTCTCACCCGTTGAAATTTATTATCCGCTGTAGTTGTTGTTGTTTTCTTTCTTTTTTTTTTTTTTTTTTTTTTTCCTCCCATTTCGCGCCGCACTGCAGCAAAACAATCAAGGAGGATGCGTTGTTAACAGTCGCGCCGCACTGCGGCAATAATAATCCGCTCGCACGAGCCTCCCGTCCGTCAGTCTATAGGTATATGTAATCAACTTTATGATTACTCGTTACGTGAAAAATTAATTAATCGCGATTAGAACGAATGCGACTGATACATCATATCCTGTGATTCTTCTTTTTTCCTTTTTCCTTTCCCCTGATGTACAAACATACAATAAGTATACATTTAACGATTATACACATAAGTATAGGCAGGGGTACATAACATACCTATACTCGATGCGCGGTATAGACGTATACTTACGGCTGATGGTAACGAGGGAGATAAAAAATAGGTATTGTATATACGTATGCGGTATATACAGAGGATTAATGATTGGTATATCCTCAAGGTGATCCTCGACGCGTATGTATATACTTACAGGTATGGGTATATATATACACATAAACCAGATATCTATGTATAATTTTATCCAAGTTTTACTTAATCTCTTCCCAGCCAATCGCAAGCCTCGCCAGTAACGCTCGGCAAATAAGTAAAGTGCGGCTGCTGTAAGTACGCGTGTATAATTCAAGAGGTATACATATATGTAGAGAGAAGACGGAGACAACTTGAATCCTTGTATATGTATGCATGCGCGCAAGGAGGAAGAGCACTCGTGGACCGTCTGAGAATTAATCACGCCCGTGTATGTACGCGTGAGTGCAATTCAAGTGGTACCTATACACATTTACGACCCCCGCAGTGGTGTAAGCGGAAAATCAACGAGCCCTTGCCCTTAGAGCACAAATGTTCTCGAGTGTGGATTTTTGCTTAGCAATTTTTCGGCCGCTTAAAATAATTTTTACACCAAGGAGAAAAATCAAATTTTGTTTTGTTTCGATAGTCCAAATATTTTCATTACAATGGAGTGACTTGGGGGTGCGCGCGTAAAACTTTGAAAGATATCTTTAAAGAGGAGTGATTGATTTAAAAAAAAAAAAAATCATTTTCGTCGATCAAACACGTTACAACTAAAAGCAAAAAGTCGTGTGTTCGACATCCGTCGTGCAGATTTTCAGCATTTGTTTATAAAACACTGGAATTCCCGATGTATAGTTGCATCTGATACTGGACGAGTTTGATATTTTCATGACAACAGCGGGACATTTTAGAAGGAAAGGTGGATACACGTCACACTCGGAGGTAAAAAAATCAGTCTACACTCAGGCGCTGCGATCGATATTTTTTCATAATATATACACGTGACATGAAGTATACGAGAGACCTGTGGGCTCCTCGCGAGCCAAGAGACGACCCTGCTAGGTGATGCTCAGGGAGGACGAGAGAGAGAGAGAGAGAGAGAAGAGCCAAGCAATGTGGAGCTGTGCATGCATAGTTACAGGACCAGTTGGTCGGCAGTTTTTCTTTTTCCCTCGTTTTCATTAATTTCTTTTTTTCATACCCCATCCTGCCTACAAATACGGGGGACGACGCGACTCGCGCCTCACAGTCCCCTGCGCCACCTACTACGCTTCCAGCACTCGAGTATAATATACCCGCCAGGATGTTTAGACACGTACGTCGAGCGCGAAATTTTTCTCGCCCAAAGCAATAATATACTTACACGGGTGTTATCTTCGATAATAATATATATATTTTCATCCTGCAAAGGCCCTCCTGTTCCTGATGCTGGCCGTCGGCCTCGGGCTGGCGAGCGCGGCACCGGCGACCGAGCCCAAAGCCGAGCCGGCCGCCCCCAAGACACCGGCGTCCACGGAAAAACTCGTGCCGCTCATCGCGCCGCTCCCGGCCCTCGCAATACCCCAGATCGCAGTGCCCTTTCCCGTGAGTTGTACACATATTGATTTATTATTATTATTATTATTTTTTTGTTTCAATTGATCGTATTCCAAAATATGATCGTTCCACGGGCTCTTTTGGCGGATAATTGCAAACAGTGTTTTTATTTCCTCGTGCAGTNGAGAGAGAGAGAGAGAGAGAGAGAGAGAGAGAGAGAGAGAGAGAGAGAGAGAGAGAGAGAGAGAGAGAGAGAGAGAGAGAGAGAGAGAGAGAGAGAGAGAGAGAGAGAGAGAGAGAGAGAGAGAGAGAGAGAGAGAGAGAGAGAGAGAGAGAGAGAGAGAGAGAGAGAGAGAGAGAGAGAGAGAGAGAGAGAGAGAGAGAGAGAGAGAGAGAGAGAGAGAGAGAGAGAGAGAGAGAGTGGTGCATGTCAAGGAACCGCATGCAGCCACCGATGGTGGTACGTATTATATACACATGATGCATGTACGTCACCGGCGATAATAATACCTATAGGTGTACAAAAGAAGCTTGGGGGAGGGGGCGAGGGGCGGCAAACATCCTCGGAAACACTTTCTCCCGGATCCACGAAACCTAAGAGCGTGTACAAGTCGCGCCGGGCTCTACGTGCGCGATATATCCTTCGAGTGGCTCGTTTTAACAATTCGCGGTTTTCGGTGTGCTGTAATTATCGTTGTTTTGCCTTTTCCCCGCTGAGATCGGATAGGAAGATCCGGGCATTGTATAGAATACAGATGTGCGTTAAATCATTTCGTTCGCATTTTATTTCACTTTTTGCCTATTTTTTTTTTCTTTTTCTTCCGAACAATGAGAAAAAAGAGCATTGGTTGTTCATTCCTATATCGCGACTGAGTCAAAAATCGGTACACCACAAAGATCAGGGAGAGTAAATTTTATGTCTTCGTTGCTCAACGCACCAACATTTTTTTATTATTTTAGAAAAATGCTTTTAGATGAAAAGTTAACGGAAATATCGGTAAAGTATACCATATAGCATACATAAAATAGCGAAATAAAACGACGATCGTCACGGTTATCGACGAGATATGAACAACTTTAGTAAGGGTCAATGGCATTGAAAAACATGACGGAAAACAATACGGAGCATCAGGTAAAATCGGTAAGTATCGTTTAGTGCAGATCGTACAGTAAAAGTTGGGTATTATACAGCGATGCGTCGCGCGTTTCATTCACGATTTAGCTGGTTACATATTATACTGACGTCACGCGAGCCAAAAGGACACACGGCATTATACATGTTGTGTGCGTAAGTAAGTATTGCCACAACGTCTCTTGCGCTCGGGGCACAAGTAGGTAGGGTATGCTGTTATACGATCGTCGACACGAGCATCGATGTCGAAACTTATGTAATAAACGGTGGGTAGGTAGGTATATACATGGGAGGGAAACGAAATTTCGACGAATCGGGCAGTGGCCCATGCATGCCCTTGCCTCGATCTACGTCATCATGGGGTCAATTTGTACATATTGAAAGGGAGGGGGTCCAGCTGGCCGACGAGGTTTCTGACCGATTCCTGGTATACAGGTATAACTTATCAAGAGCCTGTATGTAATTCATTACAATTTTACTGTTGCTTCGTGCGCATGGAAAATCCAACGTGCGTCACGAGACTTTTCGCAATCGCATTTCTAACACTTGGTGTTGATTTTTATCTATTTTTTTTTTATGCTAATCTCCGATGGTGCCGTTTTTTTCTTTTTGGCAATTTAAATCAAGTCAACGAGGGTGGCTGGAGTATTTTTTTTTTCATGGATCCGAAATTAAAGGTTTTTTTTTTTCATCATGTGTTAAAACATTATCCATGAAATAATACATGACACCTGAAAACACATTTTTTTGACAATACGTGTTAAGGGTATGGTACAATAAAATTTAGAGATGGTTGGTATCAGAAACAGATAAAACTCGGCGTAATTATTATACCTACGTAATGTATGCCAACAAGTGTGAAAAACTAATACCTTTTTTTTTTTTTTCCTCCCATTTCGCGCCGCACTGCAGCAAAACAATCAAGGAGGATGCGTTGTTAACAGTCGCGCCGCACTGCGGCAATAATAATCCGCTCGCACGAGCCTCCCGTCCGTCAGTCTATAGGTATATGTAATCAACTTTATGATTACTCGTTACGTGAAAAATTAATTAATCGCGATTAGAACGAATGCGACTGATACATCATATCCTGTGATTCTTCTTTTTTCCTTTTTCCTTTCCCCTGATGTACAAACATACAATAAGTATACATTTAACGATTATACACATAAGTATAGGCAGGGGTACATAACATACCTATACTCGATGCGCGGTATAGACGTATACTTACGGCTGATGGTAACGAGGGAGATAAAAAATAGGTATTGTATATACGTATGCGGTATATACAGAGGATTAATGATTGGTATATCCTCAAGGTGATCCTCGACGCGTATGTATATACTTACAGGTATGGGTATATATATACACATAAACCAGATATCTATGTATAATTTTATCCAAGTTTTACTTAATCTCTTCCCAGCCAATCGCAAGCCTCGCCAGTAACGCTCGGCAAATAAGTAAAGTGCGGCTGCTGTAAGTACGCGTGTATAATTCAAGAGGTATACATATATGTAGAGAGAAGACGGAGACAACTTGAATCCTTGTATATGTATGCATGCGCGCAAGGAGGAAGAGCACTCGTGGACCGTCTGAGAATTAATCACGCCCGTGTATGTACGCGTGAGTGCAATTCAAGTGGTACCTATACACATTTACGACCCCCGCAGTGGTGTAAGCGGAAAATCAACGAGCCCTTGCCCTTAGAGCACAAATGTTCTCGAGTGTGGATTTTTGCTTAGCAATTTTTCGGCCGCTTAAAATAATTTTTACACCAAGGAGAAAAATCAAATTTTGTTTTGTTTCGATAGTCCAAATATTTTCATTACAATGGAGTGACTTGGGGGTGCGCGCGTAAAACTTTGAAAGATATCTTTAAAGAGGAGTGATTGATTTAAAAAAAAAAAAAATCATTTTCGTCGATCAAACACGTTACAACTAAAAGCAAAAAGTCGTGTGTTCGACATCCGTCGTGCAGATTTTCAGCATTTGTTTATAAAACACTGGAATTCCCGATGTATAGTTGCATCTGATACTGGACGAGTTTGATATTTTCATGACAACAGCGGGACATTTTAGAAGGAAAGGTGGATACACGTCACACTCGGAGGTAAAAAAATCAGTCTACACTCAGGCGCTGCGATCGATATTTTTTCATAATATATACACGTGACATGAAGTATACGAGAGACCTGTGGGCTCCTCGCGAGCCAAGAGACGACCCTGCTAGGTGATGCTCAGGGAGGACGAGAGAGAGAGAGAGAGAGAGAAGAGCCAAGCAATGTGGAGCTGTGCATGCATAGTTACAGGACCAGTTGGTCGGCAGTTTTTCTTTTTCCCTCGTTTTCATTAATTTCTTTTTTTCATACCCCATCCTGCCTACAAATACGGGGGACGACGCGACTCGCGCCTCACAGTCCCCTGCGCCACCTACTACGCTTCCAGCACTCGAGTATAATATACCCGCCAGGATGTTTAGACACGTACGTCGAGCGCGAAATTTTTCTCGCCCAAAGCAATAATATACTTACACGGGTGTTATCTTCGATAATAATATATATATTTTCATCCTGCAAAGGCCCTCCTGTTCCTGATGCTGGCCGTCGGCCTCGGGCTGGCGAGCGCGGCACCGGCGACCGAGCCCAAAGCCGAGCCGGCCGCCCCCAAGACACCGGCGTCCACGGAAAAACTCGTGCCGCTCATCGCGCCGCTCCCGGCCCTCGCAATACCCCAGATCGCAGTGCCCTTTCCCGTGAGTTGTACACATATTGATTTATTATTATTATTATTATTTTTTTGTTTCAATTGATCGTATTCCAAAATATGATCGTTCCACGGGCTCTTTTGGCGGATAATTGCAAACAGTGTTTTTATTTCCTCGTGCAGTTCCCAGCGCTGGCTTACCCCTATCTGGGGCCGTTCCGGGTAGCGGCAGTTCCTTCGACTTACACCGTCGAGGAGCACGGGTATACCATCACTTACTGAAGAAAAGAAAAAAAAAATGGAAATCAAAGGCCCGACGGGGCCGAGCGATCGCCGGTACTTTACCGTCGGCCGTAAGGATCGGCTACGAGCTCCTTCCGATCGAAGATCATATAGCCAAGGACGGTAACGCATGTGTTTATCGATTATTGATACATATAAGAACCTGTGTTGATTCTCATGTCCTCTATTTATAGTGTACCTCTCTTTTTCTCTCTTTGTAATGCAACACGACGAATAAAATTATAAAATTGATTAATGAAATAGATTTTTCGAGCATTATTGAAAAAAAAAAAAAAAAAAAAGAAGAAAATTCATTGTTATTCATTGCTCGTGTCATCTCGAGGAATCACAGTCAATTGGTTCAAGGGATCCCTGTATATTATATACTTGATGGTGATCCGTTTACAAACAAAATTTTCCGTCGCACAGGCCATCGACACACTTGACTATGCCAACAAGAGCCACGACGAAGGCGTCCGGAAGACGCGATTATTCGTATACAAGAGCTCTCTCTCAATCTCGAGGGCGTAGGTGTCTTCTAAATCCACGAGCACACACATTTGATCTCCATCTTGTGCGAGTCGCGGGCCATTAAACGGATCTGACGCGTGCGGGTGAAATTGTTTGCCGGATCAGCAAACTGTCCCGTGAAAATAATAATCGTTTGCTCCGGAGTTGGGTGAGACGCAGGAAGTAGTATAGATTTCGTCACTGGGGCGCATCTTCTGAGCCCAAGGGGCCATTTTCATTCGGACGCTGGTTTTTTTTTTTTTTTACCGAGGATAACAAATGCCCATGGACAAAAAAAAGTGTCCTATGCATAGGTACAGAATCTATTATTTCATTTGTCATTTTTCATCTATTGTGTCATTTTAACATAATTATATCCCATTGTTAAACAATGCATCCAAACCGTTTATTTATCATCTCAGTATTAATTTATTAGACCAAGAGTGAACATCGCGAACAACGAGTTAGGATATACATCTTTGCTCACTTGGCCATTTAATGCTCTCTGAAGGATTTTAACAATAATAACTGCTTTTTCGGGATTGACGTGAAAGAAATTTATATTGGAAGCTTCCTATAAAAAATAAAAAAAAGTGACGAGTTTTTGTATGTGCACATAGCACCCGCAGACAGAAAGTGATTAACCGTCGCAAATCGGTACTTTATTGTGAAAAACCATGTACTTATTTGCGCCCAAATCCACTATACCTACGTAATGTATGCCAACAAGTGTGAAAAACTAATACCTATTTATTGATACCGATCATTTGTACACGGATCGGTGAACTTGCGACGTCTCCCGAAGATGCGCGCTTGTTTTTTGTATAAGTAGTTGACCGCGAGCATGAAGATAGGTGCAACAACATCACCTGCCTAATACAAAATACACGATGCGACCGACGAGAGGGAAAGCGCCCGGGACTTTCTCCGCGACCGTGGGCGCCCATCAGGGAGGGACTGTTAATACGAAACGTAAACATGCACGGCGAGGCTGCATCTCAACACGTATAAATGCTCATACGTATATACATATATATTATACACCTACCGATTTGTATGCGAGCCGTGATGTAGACCTGTTACGCAACACGCTGACCGAATAGCTCGCACACGGCCGATATGTTTTAAGGATTCGGTAAGTATACAAGCACGAGGATGATCGGTATGTACGATACCGATTTTTCACTTATACTTTTGGGTACCGTGGCACTGTGCTTTGTTTACCAAACGAGGTGAAAAGTTATATAGCTGAAACAATCAAATTATCATTGTTTATATACACAAGGAGTTACACCAACCAATGTTGTAACAAACGCAGATTGTTTACTTCGTAAATAAAAAAAATGGGGGAAAACCCAAGCTTCCTTATTGGGTGGATTATAATTATTATTATCATCATTAAGAGTCAATGCACCCCATATGAACGAAGCGAAACGGGTCAGCCTTCCTTCTAAGATGTATATGTATATTGCACGTTAATGGCAGTGTCAAAGTATAGTGGTGCATAAAATTCCCAGGTTGCAACAGCGGGAAAATCCCCGTTGTGCAACGAAAATGCATCGACTCGAGCCGCGACCGTTAGAGCAATCGACTTTTTTTCTTTTTTTTTTACGCCCTCTCCTTTGATTATACGTCACAGGTAAGCGATGCTCAATTTTTGCGCGCGCTTTGAACATGTGGAAAACCCAAAAGACGCAACAGCAATGGATAGTACAAGTTATTAATACTTACCAATGGAAGAGTATATAGTTACTATGAAATAAATATTTAAGAAAACACATTTTACTTTTTTTTATACTGGGCGTAAAAACAAAGTTTGCAGCCATACACGGGATAGCTAAGACGAAGCGAGCACTCGTTGGAACATTAATATATTTCATGTGCGTATGCAAATTGCAAATACGACTGTTGTGTATGTATGATAATCACACACTTACGTATGTACATATACAGGAAAGTGCATGTATATGTAAAGCAGAGAAAGAGAGAGAGAGATGGTCACGCTTGGATCGCTTTACCGCACACGCTTTAAAGAGAGAGTAGAGTAGACTAGAGTAGAGTGGATTTATGAGGCTAAGGACCAAAGGTCCATAGTAGCCTTAGCATTAAGTACATAAGATGAGTTTAGAGGACACGCAGGTCCAAGATACAAGATAGTCGCAGATAATAGAGAGAGAGAGAGAGAGAGAGAGAGAGAGAGTGGTGCATGTCAAGGAACCGCATGCAGCCACCGATGGTGGTACGTATTATATACACATGATGCATGTACGTCACCGGCGATAATAATACCTATAGGTGTACAAAAGAAGCTTGGGGGAGGGGGCGAGGGGCGGCAAACATCCTCGGAAACACTTTCTCCCGGATCCACGAAACCTAAGAGCGTGTACAAGTCGCGCCGGGCTCTACGTGCGCGATATATCCTTCGAGTGGCTCGTTTTAACAATTCGCGGTTTTCGGTGTGCTGTAATTATCGTTGTTTTGCCTTTTCCCCGCTGAGATCGGATAGGAAGATCCGGGCATTGTATAGAATACAGATGTGCGTTAAATCATTTCGTTCGCATTTTATTTCACTTTTTGCCTATTTTTTTTTTCTTTTTCTTCCGAACAATGAGAAAAAAGAGCATTGGTTGTTCATTCCTATATCGCGACTGAGTCAAAAATCGGTACACCACAAAGATCAGGGAGAGTAAATTTTATGTCTTCGTTGCTCAACGCACCAACATTTTTTTATTATTTTAGAAAAATGCTTTTAGATGAAAAGTTAACGGAAATATCGGTAAAGTATACCATATAGCATACATAAAATAGCGAAATAAAACGACGATCGTCACGGTTATCGACGAGATATGAACAACTTTAGTAAGGGTCAATGGCATTGAAAAACATGACGGAAAACAATACGGAGCATCAGGTAAAATCGGTAAGTATCGTTTAGTGCAGATCGTACAGTAAAAGTTGGGTATTATACAGCGATGCGTCGCGCGTTTCATTCACGATTTAGCTGGTTACATATTATACTGACGTCACGCGAGCCAAAAGGACACACGGCATTATACATGTTGTGTGCGTAAGTAAGTATTGCCACAACGTCTCTTGCGCTCGGGGCACAAGTAGGTAGGGTATGCTGTTATACGATCGTCGACACGAGCATCGATGTCGAAACTTATGTAATAAACGGTGGGTAGGTAGGTATATACATGGGAGGGAAACGAAATTTCGACGAATCGGGCAGTGGCCCATGCATGCCCTTGCCTCGATCTACGTCATCATGGGGTCAATTTGTACATATTGAAAGGGAGGGGGTCCAGCTGGCCGACGAGGTTTCTGACCGATTCCTGGTATACAGGTATAACTTATCAAGAGCCTGTATGTAATTCATTACAATTTTACTGTTGCTTCGTGCGCATGGAAAATCCAACGTGCGTCACGAGACTTTTCGCAATCGCATTTCTAACACTTGGTGTTGATTTTTATCTATTTTTTTTTTATGCTAATCTCCGATGGTGCCGTTTTTTTCTTTTTGGCAATTTAAATCAAGTCAACGAGGGTGGCTGGAGTATTTTTTTTTTCATGGATCCGAAATTAAAGGTTTTTTTTTTTCATCATGTGTTAAAACATTATCCATGAAATAATACATGACACCTGAAAACACATTTTTTTGACAATACGTGTTAAGGGTATGGTACAATAAAATTTAGAGATGGTTGGTATCAGAAACAGATAAAACTCGGCGTAATTATTATACCTACGTAATGTATGCCAACAAGTGTGAAAAACTAATACCTTTTTTTTTTTTTTCCTCCCATTTCGCGCCGCACTGCAGCAAAACAATCAAGGAGGATGCGTTGTTAACAGTCGCGCCGCACTGCGGCAATAATACAAACTGATATTTTTACTGTCAACTTTTGCAGCTCATTTTAAATGTACTTACGAGCTTTGTCCAGATAGTTGGTACACATTCGAAAAAAGAAAAAAAAAATTGTGTTCAGGAAAAAATAACCCTTTCATTCAGTTAAAGAAAACTGGACTTATAGAATTAACATTAAAAAATTGGATCAGAATTTTTTAAAGTCGTTTTAACTAAATGCTATAGATCTCATTATCCCAAATCATGAACATCTTCGGATATGCAATAGCCAATAAGTACACGATAAAACCTATTAATGAGTAAAATGCCTATCTAAAATAAAATATAAGCACGCAGTTACAACTACACATAAAGGACACAGTAGCAATAAATTACACTTAATTAAAATCGAACAGTTCCGAGAAAATATGTAAATTTCAGAAGCGCACATGTTGAATTTAACCAAATGAAAATCATCATAAGGCAAGTATGTAATATTTTACAAAATACTAGTAACGAATACTTTGGGGAAGCTTTGCGCCAATTATCAAATTGAGGTGAAATGCCAAAAATGTGTGATTCAAACGTATATAAACAAAAGCAATAAAAGCAACGATTCTGATCTGATGATTTGTATACTTAACAGTTTCGCAAAGTTTAATTAATTATCGTACAAAAATCGTCACATGTGCGGCATCTATTAAATAAAAAAAAAATAAATAAATAATGAAACAAATGAATAAAAGAAAGGTCTGGGTGTTACACAGAAGACATTAAGTGTTCACGGCTGATGCGTATGACGTACTTCCATAACAGCGGATCAAAGAACCATGACTCACGGGTTGTATGGTACCTGTATCGCGCGCTAACCCCACCGCGAGCGGGTCTCCGAGGCATTTTCCGGGAGGGCCGGTCCGCCCCAGCATCCCCGAAAAGCTAAGTATATAAGATTCGCCGGCGAGCGGCAAAAGCTCAGAGTCGAACTGTTGTGTGGTGCGTCGAGTTGGTAGGGAAGGATATACATCACAAAAGTAGGTATACCTGGTGCTCTGCAGAGAGAAAGTGTATGTATACACATATACCCTGCCGGTCTCTACACAGCAACCCGATCGACGATCGGAGCCCGGTCGCTTTTTTTGCGCGTATATACCCGCAGTCGTTCCGCGCACCTGGACGAGAAAGAAACCCAAGGTGAGTCGACATCTCTTGGTTTAAACAAATTACTTTTTTTTTTTTTTTTTTTTTATCGGTAAAATTCAAGCCTCCGTATAAGCGGTATTACCGGTTGCGATTAAGGATCCGTTGTTTTTAATATATTAATGACGTTTGGGTATTTTTTAAGATTTTTGTCTTTCATTGTAAACGTGTGACGAAGCTTTAAAACCCTCGATCGATTTCTCCTTGGGGGTACCGAAAAAAAATCCATAGAAAAGAATTTCTTTTCTCTTATCAATCAAAAAAGGAACAATACAACGGGCACCCGCGAGATTTCACGGCCCGATGATCCAACTACTTTCTCTCCTCGCGTTTTCGTGTGAATCTAAAGACCATCCGACTCGTTTGTACTGAATTTTTAATAAACCATCAGCGAGGAGCGCTCAAATTAGCATACAAACACCGAAAATAATCGGAGCGCGAAGAATCGAGATCGAGGTGTGTATACCATCTTTCGACTGAATTTACGTGTCCCCCGACACACCAACCGTTACGTAACGCGCGATCGGTAAACCCAAGGAGGAGACAAAGAGAGACACGGTAAAAGCTCGAAGGTTGCATTGACCCGTGAAATGGAAAGGTTTACGCTCGCGCGCGTGCACCGTATGTACAATATAATAAATATACGCAGCACTCGCTTTCTCTATACACTTATTAGCTTCCTCTCACTTTCTTCCCTCCACATTTGTATACGTATATACTTACTACGCAGCTTCCCTTCTTCCTCCGCGTACATCTTTTGTTACGTAGGCGCGCACCTCACGAAATCGTTTCTCGCTTTTCTCTTTGCTCCACATAAGGCGCGCCCGGGTACAATGTACATATATACGCGTAATAGCAAAGCTCCACAAGGCCACCTCTAATCTGCCCATCTGCGTGAATTATAAAATGTATACATCACAATCGGATCCTCGATCCTGGGCCATTAGCGTGAATGGAGCAACAGGACCTACCCACGTGAGTCGTGCGGCTTTCTCGTCCGGCTCTTTTTGAGGAACCGTCAAGTTTAATGGGGAAAGACGAGGATGTTTGACCATATAATAGAGAGAGAGAGAGAGAGAGAGAGAGAGAGTGGTGTTTCCCAACTCTCTGGTTGCGCAACAACCCCCCCCCCCCCCCCCCCCAAAAAAAAAAAAAAAAAATCGGTGTTTGGTAACGCGTTTAAGTCATATACGACCGGCCGGCGGTGGGTCGCTCTCTTTTTCCGCGTAAGCAAACATCGATGTTTCGGCAACACGATTTTTAACGGCACCACATTATATACCACATTGTTTTATTAACTTTTTCCACATTTAACTCGAAGGAGAAATGGCTCATCGTCAGATGTATGCGTCTCTTCCGAAGCTTCCGTCCACATATACTGGAAAAAAGAAGCCACGTAAAACTCGAGCTACATTGTAGCGTCTCGCACCTATAGACGAGATCACAAACCGCAAGATGAAAGCGAGATACGCTTAGCGCACGTACATCCACACGGAGAAATAGGGGAAAGCTCCTTGCCATGAGCATACGTGTACGCGTGACAATCGCGATTTTCACTGACCCCTTCAAAAGTCAACCTGACACCGCGACAGCTGTAATTTGTTTTTTTTTTTTTTTTCCATCGTACTCGCTTTGTCCGCGCGTCAGCGGAAATCCTCCGGCGCCCGTTCAAGTTCGGAGCCATCACATTGTGATCGACTGACGCGCGCGTCCCCGTTCCGTCATCCAATAATCGGTAAATTGAAAACAAAACGACCTACTTGCTTTGCAGAGAGAACAAAGATGTGGATACCAGCGCAGTTGGCACTACTGTGCCTCACCGCACGCGCCCTCGCCACCCAAGTGCCGTACCAGCCGCCAGAGTTCTCGGCGTCCCCGGACTCGAGTCAGCAACAAAGCCACTTCTCCTCCTGGCAGTCGGACGACCTCACCGCAGCCGCCAGCTCGGCGAGCCACGGCGACGGCTTCCACCCGCTGACCTTCGACCCCACCGTGCAGCCCCAGCAAAACATCCAGAGACCCATTGACTCCACGGGGGTAAGGAGACATACAACGTTCTCAAAACAACACCACCCCAATACATCCCAAGATAACACGTGATGGACTAATCATAAATCAATAACTTAGGCGGAATCGGTGATCGATGACATTCTCGTGTCGAACCACCAGGGTCGCGCCCTCGAGGGCTTCGACGAGGTCTACGCAGATCCCGACATCAAGAACGCCCTGCAGCTCGGCAACGACACCATCGCTCGCTCCTACATCCGCGACAAGCTGTGCTCCCTCAACCTCATGACCGTGAGTCCAATACGTGACTCTGCTTTTTTTTTTCTTTTTTTAAATATTAATCAAAGTATAAACAATGACAATTGTAGTGCGACGGTACCGAGGAGAGGCGGCCCTTTTACTCGCCGTACAGGGACATCCACCCGCAGGAGGTGATCTACGCCCAGCCGGTGACGATCAAGCCGGTCGGCCGTCCACTGCCCGCGATCCCGGTGAAGCGTCCCGCCAGCGTGGGTCTGGGCTTCAAGCCACCGGGCCTGTACCCCGGAGGTCCGTCATCCCAGCCACTGCCGTCGTACGGGCCCGGGCCCTCGTTCATCGGGCCCCGACCACCCAGCTTCACTGGACCCTACTACAAGAAACCGGGCCACTTTGGCGGGCCACCGGCCAAGCCGATCTACGAGAGCCCCGAGATCGACTACGAGGACAAGTTCATCGACAAGAAGCAGCACATTGCCGGCTCGTCCGTCCAACAGCACGTCCACCACCATTACCACCACAACGACGGCGCGGCCAGTGGGATCGAGGGGCCCATCGGTAGCAGCGGCTACGGGTACGGGCCTGGCTCCGATTACGACCAGTACAAGAAGAACTTCAAGGTCAAGAGCCCCACCGCCACGGCCACGGCCTCGGCCAGCTCGAGCAGCTACGCCAACAACTTTTTGGGCTACGAGAAGCCCAAGCCCGGTTTCGCCGGTGCCAAGGGCACCGAGTTTGGCAAACAGTTTGGTGGCAACTACAACAATTTCGGCAACGAGTTCGGCTCGGGTGGATTGGACACCGGCTACGACGGCCCTGGCGAGGACGATCAGTGCGTCTGCGTGCCGTACAACAGGTGCGCGGCCCTCGACCAAGCCGGGCGCAAGGACGACCTGTATCTGGCCATTGACCCGCGCGACTTGGGCAAGAACATCGAGGCCGAGACCGAGGAGGTCGTCGTGACCAGTAGCAATGGCACGATGAGCGTGGTCAGGGTGGCCAAGGCCGGTGGCAACGAGACCGAGCGGTCGAAAGACCACGCGGAGAAGAAGAAGGACGAGGTTGGAGAGAAACGAGCCAAGAGGGACACGGAAAACTCGGATGAGAGCAACGACGAGGCTCAGAGCGTAAGCTTTTTTTCTTTTTTTCCTTTGTTTCGTAGATGTACGTATATGTATATTACAATATGGTACGTGGTGTGGGGAGGTTCGTAGTTGGTGATTGTTGCTATTGGCCAGGTGCATGGAGCATTTAAATTACATTTATTCGACGCGATCGCACGTGTTTTGCTTAAATTGTAATTAGTCAAAAGTGCAATGTCCATAAGTATCCAAGTAGTTAACTAATTTTATCGGCACTTGGCCAAAATGTGTACGACAAGTATACTTACGTGCTGGTGGACTTTCACTTTCTGGCCGTTGTGGCATATACGCACTGCCGTTCACACCTGCGATCCAAGACTTTCTTTGCTTCCGTACGTACACTCCATGGGAGTGAAATGCACCGTTAGCGACGAGTATTGGTACACGACGACAATCGATGTTTGACAGTGGTTTGCTTCTTTGTAACAAAAGTAGCAGGAGTTTCGAGGCACCTGATTGGGAAAATTAAAAATAAATAAATAAATAACTCAATCGACATGGTACCGAATGAATGGCACTTTTTACTACTTTGTGAAACACCGGTGAGGTGTACGAAAGCCCATCGTTACGGATCTAACGGTCGTAACGTATAGACGTATACATGCAAGACTATCACTCCCATCACCTACAGTATTGTGTACAGATCTGACGTCAAGAAAAACGTATACGTAGGACAAATATATAACACACGGCTAGATAGTACCTGTAAGAATGCATTATATGATATATGAATAAGAACAAAAAAATGATGATGATGATGATGATCATCGATCGAGCAGCGTTGTATAAAACCACGGACGTGTGCCTCAAATTCCAGCGCCTCCTGGGGCAGCACTTGGACACCTCGAAGTTCAACGTGAAGCCGACCTTCGGCGTGAGCTTCGGCTTGCCTCAGGGAGGCGGCTCGTACCCCGTCAACGGGTACGGAGGTGATTCCCTGGTGAACCCGTACCCGGGCTACGGAGCCGGCACCCAAGGGATCAATTTAGGTCCCGTGTCGGTTAACCCTCTAGTTGCTTTTCAAGTGACGAAGGGCGAGTACGGGCACAAGGTGATCAAGCCGCTCATTAATTTTCACATATCGCCCAACGCGGGACTCGTCCACAAGTTCAATCACTTGCTCGCCAACAAGAAAGAGGCCCTCTTCGGGAACCACCATCAGTATCCCCCGCATTACGCACCGCAGTACCACCACCAGCACCCGGGAGGACCTCCTCTTTACCACAATCCAGCTCATCACGGCTACCCGGGCCAACAATATCGTCCCGGTGCCCACGTGAACTTTGAACGTCCCTCGTACTCCCAGCAGCACTACCACCAGCACCAACACAACCACTATCACCATCAGCAGGAACAGCAGCATGGTCCCTACGGTGGAGGAGGAGGACCCAACTATTATTACGACGGGGAGGGTCCGGACTACGGGTACGACGGGGATGACGATTACTACGGGGGTCAGGAGCATTACTACAGAAACGCGCGTACCAACGCGACGGTGGCCGAGAATAGATTGAACAGGCCGGACAGGGTGGAGGGCGGTGACGAGGACCAAAGTCCCGTCGTCGCTCAAAAGGTCAACTTTCCCCAACGAAGAAAACGCGACGCCCAAGAGGTAAGCTTTGTGTTTAAAGGCTCCTCTCCGAGCCTCCACCCCTCCCCTTTTTGAACACGAGGAGGCTGCGCGACGTTGCTCGTGGGTATAACATGGCTTTGAGAGCACCGAGAGACGATGATGCTACAACGTATATATGCTTCGACGTCTGCAGGCAACGTCTTTATAAACAATATACCGCTTATACCGATACTCTCGACTTGTTTGTGCATAGATACGTACACCTTACTCACGACTAACACAAAATATATACGTGTAGTCTTAGAGAAACAAAAAAAAAAAAAAAAAAAAAAAAAAAAACTGAACTAAACGCATTTGCATGCTCCCCACCCCAGCTTGGCCATCGATTTGATATTTAGCGAGTAGAAGCTGTAGATAGAGATTGCATTAACAATTGTACAGACGCTAATACGGATAATCGGCAGTAAATCAATAAATAAGACAATATGTATTTCGTACCATAATTTTTACACACACATGATTGTTTGACGCCAACAGCGGCAGTTTGGACGACCACCGGTCTGCGGGCCCCAGCACGTGTGTTGCCGTCACAACCTCGTCCGGCCCGGCAACAATCGTCCCAAGTACGGCCAGTGCGGCGTGAGGTACAGCCAGGGCATCGCGGGCCGCATCAAGACTCCCCTGTACGTGGACGGAGACTCTGAATTTGGTAAGCGAGATCGGACACATACTCGTATAGGTATAAAATGAGGGGAAGAAAGTTGATCTGATGAAAGTGAAATGTTGGCAGGTGAGTACCCGTGGCAGGTGGCCATCCTGAAGACCGAGCCCGGCGAGAAGGAGAGCGTGTACGTGTGCGGCGGCACCCTCGTCTCGGCCCGGCACATCATAACCGCGGCCCACTGCATCAGGTCGCACACGAGCCACCAGATTCGCGCTCGCCTCGGCGAGTGGGACGTCAATCACGACGTCGAGTTTTTCCCCTACATCGAGCGCGCCGTCGACAACGTTCGCGTCCACCCGGAATTTTACGCGGGTGCCCTCTACAACGACATCGCCGTTCTCACCCTCGACGGCGACATTGACTTTGCCAAGAACCCCCACGTCAGTCCCGCGTGTCTGCCCAACAAGTACGAAACCTTCGTCGACCAGAGGTAGGAGCGCCAACCCGTGGCAATTAAAATAAAATACACTGTGGTGCCCATGTGTATGTATATAATGTAAAATAATGTCGTGCCAACAGGTGCTGGACGACTGGCTGGGGCAAGGACGCCTTCGGTGATTTTGGCAAGTACCAGAACATCCTTAAGGAGGTCGACGTGCCCGTGATCGGCAATGGGCTGTGCGAGCAGCAGCTCCGCCAGACGCGACTCGGCCCGAGTTTCTCCCTTCACCCGGGCTTCGTGTGCGCCGGTGGTGAGGCGGGCAAGGACGCCTGCAAGGGCGACGGCGGTGGTCCCATGGTGTGCGAGCGCAACGGCAAGTGGCACCTCGCTGGGGTGGTCTCTTGGGGCATCGGCTGCGGGCAGGTCGGGGTGCCGGGGGTTTACACTCGGGTGACCCACTACCTCGACTGGGTACGCCAGATCATCGGCAATTACTGATATCTACCGATGTTTTACCCACCAACATAACGATCATAATCCTTTCATCCGATCTCTGTATTATGTTACCCCATCACGTACTTTTATTATTATTATAACTTACTCGTGTCTTTTTTATATTTTATCGCAAGCAAACGCTTCGAGTATATCTACATAATTATATTGTGCACTTGTGCGATTCATCACGCCAATTCATTCATCAATCACCTTCAAACTATTATTTATTGTAAATACTACACGTGTGAGCAGATATTTTTTACTTTTCAACATTTTTATTTTTTATCGTTACCTCGTAAGAATGAAGTTTGATTCGAGTGGTCGCGTAGACGCGACGCATTCGGAGCGTTTAGTAATGCATTTTCTGTGCAACCATACTTATATGTATATCTCTATGATAAATAAAATTAATATTATTTATAAATAATTTGTTTCCTTCATTTCTTTTTTTTTTTTTTTACATTTACCGTCAAGTCGTTTTCTCCAAACATTCCTACGATTACAGTTATCATATTCGTTTGGCAAATTATCATTTGTATTTCAACTAAAGGTTACGCAGGTTATTCATATTCATGATTAATAATTACTTGTTTGTTTTTACTAATGGTTCGATTGGTTACTTTTTGTGTAAAAATTTTTTATACCTACATTAATTTCATTTTATTATTAAAAATTTTGAAATTACAGCATTCGCTCGCCCTCTGCGGGGAGATTAACGCAACGTCGATAGCTGTTTCATTTCAGTTGGTACAGTAGGTAACAACATTTGCGTCAAAAAAAAAAAAATATCAAGAGTTGACGTAACCTCGACAAAGTTGTAGTGTTTACAAAATCATCAACAAGTTGATATCAATTAATTATTAAAAATGCCTTACAAATATATTGGTCGTACGACCGATTTTAAAGGGAAGACAATGTGGGAGATTCTAGGAAACTTGAAGAATTTTGGTGTTGGCAGAATAATAGGCAGAAACATGTTCCAGAGGTATCCAGAGCCATGTTATGTCAAAGTTATGAAAGTTGAGGCCCTGGACAATCCGGAAAATCCTTCACATGATGTAAGATTAATCTCTAAAATAAAAAATAAATATTAACAATTGATGAATTTCAAACTTATGTTTAGAATGCTCGCAAAGTGATCGTCCTGTGTGAAAGAGTTTTTCGTGGTATTAAGTATCAAAAGCTGGTGCAAATGGAATCAGCCACGTACAAAACTGATTACTTTCTTGTACCCAAACACAAAGAACAAGAATTTTGCAGAAGTATCGAGGTCAAACCCATGAGGGTCTTTCCCAGTAAAATGGAACTGCCACCATTGCTTCGAGAATACGCAAAGCGCCAAATGAAAGCAGCTGGCATTCCTATCACAGAAGAGCCAAAAATGAAAGTATACTATAACAAGTATGGGATCAAGACCTACAAAGTGGCAGAAGAAGGAGAGACTCCAACTGAGCCAGAGTTAACTCTAAGTTATGGCAAACCAGTAGCACCAAGATTGTTTGAAAACATCAAAGAATGTTAAGCCAGACATGACCACCATGTATATAATTTTAAGATTTGTACAGATATCCATAGTTGTTAATAAATTTACATTTATACCCCGCGATAAATTTGTTCATCATTTTTATTTTCGTCTGCTGTCAAGTACTTGTACAGTTTTTTGTTTTTCAATACTTGAAAATTTTTGTGGTTACATGCAACGTTATACTTATTGATACGTAGAGTTAAATTGAACCATGATAATCGTAGTGAAAATCATTAGTTACTCGCAAGTCTCTTCCCGTTAAACAGTAGCAGGCATGCTCGAGAGAGCTCAATTTTTAACAAACACTTAAAATTTTCGTACTCACAAAATGCCAGACAAAATCGTGAACCGGTGTCCACCGACATGTCCCAAGGTCATACAGCAGAGAAAAGAGATAGGTAACAAATGTTGATCAGCTCAATTATGATAAAATTGTGCACAAACAGGAGATACATTTTAAAATAAATTTACACAATTGGAGTGAGGTTAACGACTTGTTTCACGTATACTTATTAATAACACGTATAAGAACTACGGCGACGACAGCAATCAGCGGCGAAGGGAGAACTGGAACAAAACAACGTGACGTTCAACGAGCCCGCGCACGACTTTCGCGATGCCGGTGTACAAAACAGCGAGAACTCGCTCGAATCGAGTTCGCGCAGCGAATCGTGCAGAACGGGTATGTACAAGTTATACACATCATGTATAATATATTCGAGCAAATAAACGTGTATATGCAGAAATGACCGAGGGCTCGAGCAGCCAACTGTCCCGCAAAGACAGCAGAAGGTAAATAAGTAAATAATGTACGCTGCAACGCAATGACTGCAGATTCGATCCTCATGTGTTAATTTTCCCGATGCAGAGGAATCGCAGTCAAGAGTTCGACCCCAGCTCTGTGCAAGAAGAGCCGCATACTGAAAGATTTCGCGGGAAGCGCCATAGTCTTGGGACCCCCTGCATCGTGTCGCTCCAAAAGTAAAATGTTCTCTCTCTCCATTGTACCTAACTTTTTTCCTTGGATATATCCCCGCGTTTTTCAGGGCCCCAACAGTCGAACCCGGCGAGAAAAGCCCTCGGCCCGGACCGCTACTGCACGTGCTCGTTGGCCTGCCTAGTCAGCCAACTGACCAGAGACAAGCTCATCAAGTCCGCGGTCGCTTCCCTCGTCTTTTTCGGCCTCTGCGTCAAGCTGTGCTTCGAACTCGAGGCTTGGACCATACCGCGAGCCGCTTGCTAAACCCTTGAACCATCAAACAGCATGGCAATAAAAACAAAAACAAAAATGGTTATTATTCCGAGCGGGTCCTCGTGCCGGTGAGTATAAGTAACCCGCCAAGGATCGCCAAAACGACCATCGTCGCCAGCAACACCTCGGCCTTAGAGTAGTCACTCGTCCGCGTCGACTCGACGACCCTGAACGTGACGTGGCTGCGCGGCCACTCGTGCAAGGTAGCGTTGTTGTCTCGCGCCTCCCGGCGGGCCCTTCTCGCGTGCCCCGGGCCGCACGGTCCAAGGGCGCAGTCGTCGCTCCCGAGGCAGCCCGACACCCTGGCCGCCAGCACCATCTCGTCCGTCTCGCTCATCCCCTCGAACATGAACGCCCTGAGCAGCAGGTGGCTCTCCAGGGGGTTCCCCTCGGCCCCTCTGTACTGCTCGCCCGGGCATATGTCCCGCACTTGGGGCTTCGGGCAGCCCCCGCCGTCCAGGATCCGCAGGCTCCTCGTGCTCCTCTTGCCCGCAAACTCCACCGTCACGTCGCTCATCCTCGAGTACCTCCAGCCTGCAACGTACACTTTATATTCACTCCGTAAACGGGCCAGCCGCGCGTGGACGTACCATCGCCTGGGCGGACTCGGGCCCTCAGCAGCAGCTCCTCTCCGAGGACTACGGTGCCGCCGGGCTCGACTTTCCCGTCAAACGCCTCCTCGGAGCCGGAGGTCTTCCGGTACAGCTCCAGCTCGGTGTCGAACGCCTGATGGCCTTGGCCACCCGCGGTCACGACCCTCCGTGCCATTTTCGCGCTCCTGTACACACAATATATATATGACGCGTGTGGATACAAGTACGCATATTATGTTGTGTGCTCACGTGTCGATGGCCTTGAGGTTGAGGCGGCGGGTGTGCGAGGCGGTGGTCTCGCGGGCGCGGCACCGGAGGGTCGCTCTGAGGTCCTGTCCGAGCCTCAGGCCGGGAATCGCGGGGAACCGGAGGCCCAGGCAGTGGAGCTTGTGGGCGCCCGGCTCGGCCGAGCAGTCCGACACGCACCTGCCGAACTCCTCCCTGCCAATGTCGACGCGGTACTCGTTCGGGAGCCTCGACACTTGGCACCTTTGGCCATTGGTGCCCTCGATCACGGGCTCGGCGAAACCACGCAACGGCTGCAGGGACACCCTGCCCGGTAAAAGCACAACTATTACTCCAAACACGCCCAAATGAGGGGAATCGCGTATGGATCGGAATATAGATGTAATCACCGAAAGTGCGGCTCGTCCCCGGTGCTCTGGCACGACATCTCGTTGATCGTTACCTCGGTGGACTCGCCGACGTTGTCTCTGAACTTTGGTCTCGGGTGGGCACCGTCTGGATGGGGCAGCCTGAGTCCCAGGGGTGTTGGGTCGTGGGGGCTTCCACGTGCGGCCACTACCTCGGGTGGGTAGGGTTGCTGCGAGTTGACGGGCAACAGGAGGCTCGAGAGTACCACCAGAGCCTTGAAAAAACGCGACCGAGACTTGATCACTGCATGCAGTATAAAATACATAATGTATGGACAGGAGGTCGACGTTACCTCGATGCGCAGCATGACTGGGGTATAGTGGTTCTTCCTGGTCCCGCGACGGGTGCGAAAATCGGTTTGTAGTATCGGATCGGTGTCTTTAATATGCCAAAAACGAGGAGGAGAGGAGGGAAAAAGGGGGTGACGGACGATGAAAGGAGCGTTGGGGTGAGGCCGGAATACCAAACAACCGAGTCCTTTTGAGAGATTTGGGTCGATCTTGTACTTATCGTCATTGTCACGAGCAGCTTGTGCCTGTACACACTTTGGCCCCGAAAATATACGTGAATGCGTACCTTGTATGTACCTCTGTTATGGCCCCTCTTTCTGTGCTCTTTGTATGAACAGCTCATATATTGCGTACTGATGCATCAAAAATGTATGCATCTAGTGCGAAAGAAAAAAAAAAAAAAATCGGCAAGAGCCGATCGTCGCTTTTAAAGTGAATCTGTAAGAGTGTGTTCATATGGGCTTGCTGGAGTGAATGGCGTAAAACTCAAGAGACAAAGCGAGGAATCTTAAATTGTTCAAGTGGAACACGTAAAAGTACAGCTGCATTGCGATCACCGAGGAATGCCGCCTTCACGCATCGTCTAGGACTGTAATTGTACTATAAATACGTACATACACGATAAAAATTAATATAATACAAACGATGTATTTCCTCGATGTATTACATTTCCTCACGGGTAAAAATATTAATATATATATAAGCAAATAAATTAGGACTTAAGAGAACACGTACTGTAATAATACGTAATATATAAATGGTAGATATTGCGTAGGTGCACTAACCGTAAATTTTAACTGTTCAAAATGTCTTCGATTTTTGACAAAATAAAATCTGATAAGAAATAAAATGGCCACTCACAATTTAAACCAGTAATATACAAATGTACTGTTCAAATTACAAAATCCTTGAATATTTCAGCACGATTTGATAAGTGTTAACAAACAATGATTTTGCGAACTTCTAAATATTATAAGAAAAAAAAACGTACAAAAAACTGATAAAATTAGGGTTCGAGAGTAGTGAATGCACAAAATAAAACAAAATTGCAAAATGTGTTGCATATGCAACAAGAGAAAAAAATTATATTAGTTATCATGAATCAAAATTACGGACTTACGTATTATGAAAGATTTGGCTATTAAATGTTAATTTTAAAATAATGCCATGGCCTTACAAACGTTCCTAGTAATGTAGTCGACTGTCTTGATGCCTAATTTACTCGCGAAACTTAATTTTCTATTTTTGACTAGGACCCAGAGTTGTGAAATCGAAAGAAAAATATTTAATTTTTCAATGATCCCAAATTATCGCTTATTTCTCGATATCTCCATTATTGACGGAGTTATGGGCAATTTAAGATTCGGCTTTTTGAATAGCCAAAAATATCAATTTTTAAAAGACGCCATGGCCTAAGAGACGTCCTTAGTAATGCAATTGACTGTCTGGATGCCTGTTTTACTCGCGAAACTTAATTTTCTATTTTTGGCTAGGACACAGTTCAATAAAATCGAAAAAAAAAAATTTTAATTTTTCAGTGATTCCAAATTATCGCTTATTTCTCGATATCTGCATTATTAACGGAGTTATGGGCAATTTAAGATTCGGCTATTTGAATAGCCAAAAATATCAATTTTTAAAAGACGCCATGGCCTAAGAGACGTCCCTAGTAATGTAGTTGACTGTCTGGATGCCTGTTTTACTCGCGAAACTTAATTTTCTATTTTTCACTAGAACCCAGTGTAATAAAATCAAAAAAAAAAAATTTTAATTTTTCAGTGATCCCAAATTATCGCTTATTTCTCGATATCTGCATTATTAACGGAGTTATGGGCAATTTAAGATTCGGCTATTTGAATAGCCAAAAATATCAATTTTTAAAAGACGCCATGGCCTAAGAGACGTCCCTAGTAATGTAGTTGACTGTCTGGATGCCTGTTTTACTCGCGAAACTTAATTTTCTATTTTTCACTAGAACCCAGTGTAATAAAATCAAAAAAAAAAAATTTTAATTTTTCAGTGATCCCAAATTATCGCTTATTTCTCGATATCTGCATTATTAACGGAGTTATGGGCAATTTAAGATTCGGCTATTTGAATAGCCAAAAATATCAATTTTTAAAAGACGCCATGGCCTAAGAGACGTCCCTAGTAATGTAGTTGACTGTCTGGATGCCTGTTTTACTCGCGAAACTTAATTTTCTATTTTTCACTA